ATTATTTTGTATATATTTTGTATAAATCTGACCCTTTACCTGCCCATAGGGAGGGATTCAAAATGACAACTTTTTCAACTTAACTTTTGAAAGTGTTCCGGAAAGTCTGACACTTTTATATATACCTTAAATTAAAGGTAATGTAATATACATTATTATGGAAAAAAAAAGTTTTCGGATTTCATTTTGCTTACATGATCTTTTGACTATCGTTGAAATTGGTTCAGTTAGAGCTGAGAAAAAGTGGTAACAGACACAAAAAAAAAACGTCATAGTAAAATTAATACCTTCTCAGCTTTGCATCGAAGCTAAAAGGATTACAAATAAATCTCAATTTTGAGTGTGTTGATTGGGAATTCAGAAAAGAATCAAAGATAACAATATCATTGAAATATCAAAAATAAATGACATACAAATTAAATTACATATAATAGATAGACTATTAAGACTTAGATTGTTCACAATAAAGTTAATAGAATCTTTAGATTTACCTAGTAAGGTAGGATACTTTTTTAAAGATTTATACTGAAAATTATCAAGTTCATTATTATGAGTAACATAATCATATGACCATATAAGACTAACAAATTTAAGTGGTTTTGTAGCAGTGCACTGTTAATATTTATTTAAAAAAAAGGGTTTTTAGAATTGTTAGTATTTCTTTTGATAAAACCAAGCATTTTATAAGATTTTCTTCAGGTCATTTTTAAAGAAAATAACTAAATGTAGATATTCTATTAAAAATATATATATATATATATTTATTCACCTTAATAGATTATTATTTTTTATTTTATTTATCAATAAAGTATTATTTAAAATTGATGTACTTCTTTTTACAGAAAAACACATTGGAATGATTTAGTGAAAGATATGTGGAATGATTACTATGCATTCCCATTAAGTAAATGGAATAGTTTTCCGTGTAGATTTTCAGAAGTTATGTCCTCTGAACAAGGTGCTTGTAGTTATTATTCTAATATATGGTCTAGAATAATTGCTGCAGATGTTTTTCAGTCATTTAGGGTATCTGATGAACCTATAAAGAACACAGGAATTAGGTATAATTTTAAAATTATAAAATGATTATATAATTAGTATAAATTATGATTTATCAGTTTTAGAGATACCTTTTTTGCATTTGGTGGTAGTTGTCCTACAGGAGAAATTTTCAGACGTTTTAAAGGACGTGACCCTTGCTCTAAAGCTTTTATTAGTGACCTCGGACTTAACAAACTTGATAAATAGATGTGTAACTTTAGCTAAAAACTTATTTGTATTAAATTTAAATCATACTAATTATCTACTTGAATAACTTAATAATTAATTTTTGCAATATTATTTTTTCAAAAATAATAATAATAAAATAAATTATAATGTTAAAATAATATGAATATATTTTTTTTTAATTTATGAATTAAAAGAATTTCATATAAATATCTGTTGTACTTTTCTGTATATGATCTTAAATTATGTAATAATTAAAAATTTTTACAGTACACATAAAAAACTTTTTTTAATTCATAATGTGAATATTATGATAACAATATATTCATTATTCTTATTAGTTTTGATTACAGTTTCCTTCCGGATAAAGTATTTTAATAACTTTTTTATTAGTTCATCACTTTATATATATAATTAAATTTTTTAATTTTAAAATAATTTTATAAATGTTTAATTACCTAATTAATTTTACTTGAAAAAAAAATGACATTAAATCAATCATTTTTTTATTTTCTTACCAAAGTGTACTTCAATATATTGTGTTAATTATTTTCATATATAAGTGTGCAAATTTTACTACTTTCATATTTAATTTTTAATTTATTAAAAGTCGATAAAATAAATACATGTAGTTTCAAATGTCATAATTATTAACTAAAGTCAGTTACCTTTCAATTTCTAAACCTTTACTTTTAAAAATATTTATATTTAGGAGTCATTTTAAGTTCTTATTTTTAGTGATTTTTATATAAAAAAGGGTAGTATGAATTTCAAGTGTGATGTGATGTTTTCATAGATGGGTGTCGTTCGCCTACTCTCTCCTACAAAATTGTATAATAATAATTGAAAATTTAACTTTAATTTTCAAATTGCCAAATTATTTTACAGTACACCAAAATTTTTAAGAGTTATTTTCGAATAACTTACATTCTTTTTCTTTTTGTTTGGCAGCTGAAAAGATATAATATAACAAAAACGGTTGCACAATGAGGTCGTGGCATAGTTGAAACAAGTATAGATGATATCTGACAGTGATTACAATCACTATCATAAGAAACGCTTCAATGCAAATCTGTAGATAGTGTTTAATTTTAAGAAATTGGTGGATTATTCCAAAAACCGAGACATTGTGTATCAAGATCAGCTACAACATCTCTCTTAGTTTACTTGATAGACTTAAATGATCCTTAAATTGAATATGTTATACGTGTTATTATTATTGTCTATTCCACTTTGGCAATCATAAAGAATAACTTTGTATTAAAAAAACGGTAGCACAGTGGGGTCGCGGCATAGTAGAGACATTGCATAGTAGGGTCCAGTATAGATTTAATCTGACAGTGATTAAAATCACTATCATAAGAAACGCTTCGATGCAAATCTGTAGATAGTGTTTAATTTTAAAAAATTGATGGATAATTGCAAAAGCAACATCAACTTCTATTAAAATAAAATACAAAACCCATAATTATCATACAAAAATAGTATATTTTTCAATATGGTAGCCATTTGCG